ACGAGGGATCATTTAAATCTAACATATCTATCAAAAATTATAAATTGGTTATTTTAGCCATTTTATGATATCAAATGAAGTGCAAGCAAGAATTTATTCTACAATAGAATTCGAAAAATAATTTAATAATAAAATAATCATTAGAATGATTCAAAGGCAAAACCAATAAATAGATGACAAATTTATCTAAATAGAGCTGTTGAATTAATTCGATATTACCATTTTTCTTCTTTACTACATTTTTTCTTTTTTTTTTTAAAAAAAGTTTCTTTACACCGATAAAATTAAAGTTATATAAAAGTTTAGCTGGAATAAAATTTGCTTTGCTAACAGGGGATTTACTAACAATATTACAACAAAGTTACTCACATTTCTTTTCTCTTTCATCAAAGGAACGTATATTGCAGTAATACTTCTGTAGATAATAAATTTAATCTTAAGAAATATTCTACGATCATACCAATGATTTTATATATTTCTCTATAATATTTAATTTAATTAAAAAAAAATTTGCTTTCGTTCTTAAATGCAATGAAAAGAGAGAAGAGAGAAAAAAAAAAAGAAATATCGCGCAGTCAGAAAATATGAAAATCCATTTAGAATCAATTGAAATTTATTACAATTAAATTCATATGTAAAATAAATAGGAAACTGTATTTTTATTCTTGTACAGAAAACGTAAGACAAAGATATTGCACTCAAAAATCATCGAATGAAGGACACAAATTTGAGAGACGTGATGTCTCACTGTAATTTTATAATTTGATAGCAAACAGTAACAGCATGCGTGCAATCTTTTCTCAGGAGAATACATAGTGAGGCACGTAGTTGGAATTACTTTAATACCTTGATAAATAATACCGTCAGCGAAAATTGAATCAGATGAATTTACACCATAGAAAACACATGTAATTTTACAATTTTATATCGCACGCGTAACTACGCGCGTATAATTAATGCAATTGATGCTTCTTTTGAATTATTTCGTATTCTTCGATCTATCTTTTTATATTCGACAATTTGCAACGTTGATCGAACAACACGTCGACCAAACAAATATATTTGTTAACGCTATTTGACATTTGTGCAATAGTAGCGTAATCGGTAGATTACGGATTTCCATACGTTCATGGAAAATGTGACAACGCACGTAATATGCAAAACTGTATAAAATATTCCAAAGAGAATATTAATTATATATAATTCTATGCAGATAATTTCCCGTTTACGTTAAAACATAATTTGTTCAATATGAGATGTTCGATGAAAAGTATTCAAAACTCTTCTTCAAAGAGATTTTATCCGATTATAAAATATTTGAAAAATTGGTCAAACAATTATATTGCAAAATTTTATTCATTCATAAATGAAAATTCTATCTACTTCAACAATTACAATTACAATTCTTTGATTTGTAGACAGAGATTGATGCATTCTTACTGTTCAAAATTCATTTCAAGCAAATTCAACCAAATTTAATATCTGCACGTATTTTGTTAAATATTCAACATAAATTCTATAATTTGCTTATGTATAGCGGAGATAAAATCATCAACAAGCTGTTACATTTTACAATCAAGTTCAGTACGCGAGGCAAATTTAATAAATAATAATACAGAACGTTTCGACATTTCATTAATACCTGGTGAGTCTCATAGAAATTACAAAATTAAGAGCATAATTGTACCCATGACAATCGTAATTTAATTTGAAGTTTATTTTAATTTTTATTTCTTTCTATAAATTTCTATAAATTTCGATATTGTATTAACGAGAGAAGATATTTTATATGTTATTTTTAATAACAGAAACAAAAATTAAAATTAATATAGTAGAATCTCCAACACCTAAACATGTACTCTAAACGTTCTACTATGAATTTTTTTTTAATATTTTATTATTATTCGTATAAAATATTTATCAATAATAAATACCTTCTATTATTACTATTTATTATTATTACTATATAGATATATAATAATAGATAGATA